TATGAAAGACAACATTTTTATTTTCTCTTGATTGTTGTGTAATCCATGTCACCATAGATATATTCTCTAAATTTCAATATAACCTCAACAAACATTTTGGTTTCATTTCTTAAAAATAGGGAAGTTATGGTCACCATGATACAAAAAAGATGCTGAGACCCTAAAAAGAGTGCAGAGAAAAGCAACAAAGATGAGAAGGGGTACAATGAATGGTTGAGAGAACCAGGTATCTCTTGTCTAACTAAGAAAAAGACTAGGGGTGACATGATACTAGTCTTCCAGTACTTGAGGAGCTCTCAGAAAGAAGAGGGGACCAACCTATTCTCCAAAGCACCTGAGGGAAGGACAAGAAGTAATGGGGTGAAAGATCATTAAATGTGATCCATCCTAGAACTAAGGAGAAATTTCCTGACAATGAGAACAATTAAAGAGTGAAAGGGCTTGCCTCCAGAAATTGTGAGTACTCCATCACTGGAGGTTTTCAAGAAGAGATTGGACAACCAGAATGCTATAAGGTATCATGCTGCATTAGGGGACTAGACTAAAAGACCTCCAGGGTCCTGTCCAGCCTTGTTATTCTATGTTCTATGTTCTAAATTGAATAAATTATATCATTTCTGTTTTCTAATAGTATTTTACTTTTTATGGCTGTCAAGCATACTATTGAGCATTGTGATGTTTTGTTTAATACATGATTTTTTTAAGATGGGATGTTGGTTCTAAATGTTTTGTAGTACAACATTTTCTGTAAATTGTGGCATTTGACAGTCTATGTTATACCTGCCCATTGCCCATGGCTGTTGGTTGTTTTGGCTGCATAGGAACCATATTTAGAAAACTGATTGTTCTCTGTATAAGTAAGAGGACACCATAATCTTTCCCCTAGGGAAGTATTAATGTACAGTATATATTATTAATCTGTTCTGGTTAAGGTAATTCATTTATTCTTTTTCTTGCTCTCCTGCTCAGAGTTCTGATTTAATCCTTAAATGTAAATAGGTACATTTTCTTTATACCTGGGAATTTGAAGTAGTTTGTTTTTATAATTAGCCACATATTTTAAATAGCATGTTCTCAGCTATAACCTGTTATCTTTTTGATGGAAAATTGTTGTTGGGAGAAAGTTGCTCTCATGAAATTCCTGAATAACAGGAATTATGATACTTCAGATATAATATTGTGACACATTATTGGAATTGTGATGCTTCAGGACTTGTAGTTATTCAGAGACAGATGTTCCTTCCATTTTCTTGTTCCAGCCCTTGTTCCTTAATTCTAAGGAGATATCAAGTTGTGTGCAGTGGTGGGATTCAGCCGGTTTGCACCAGTTCGGCAGGACCGGTAGCTAATTTTTTGTTGCCCAGGCCCAGAACGGACTTCTGGAAGCGGCATCCACACAGAGAACCGGTTGTTCACATATTTGAATCCCACCACTGGTTTTGTGTATTTTATTATGGCTCCTTCTGTTTTTCTTTGGCCATTTATTCACATGGATTACTTTAACTTGAAAGGAACATAGTGAAGCTATTACTGGAAGGCTGGGGAAAATTAACTAAATAAGCTATTTGGAATTTCCAAACAATCATATGACTTGGATTATATATTTTAAGAGTAGTGATAGTATCAAAGTGTTTATAGATTTGCAATTTAATGGAAATTTTTCTTTGCCAATGTTTGATAAGATTAAAGCATGCAGCAAACTGATAAAATTGTTGAGCATGTATGAAAAGATATCTGTGAAGTATTTTTATGACAATCAGTAATCATGTCTTATGGGGAGACATCTCCTGGTCTTGTATTTATTCAAACATTAATTAAAAATATGTAAGGTTGGATCATTATCTGTGCCAAAGTTTAATAATAATATACTTCACACTAAGTTGAAATAAACATTTGTCTAGACAAAAGAGAACATAGGCAAAGACTCAGTATATATTGCTTTATTTGAAACTTGCTAACTTTGTCAGCAAACAGTCACATGGTCTCGGTATCTTCTGTCATTGAAATTTTAAGTTTTTATTCAGGTTTAGTATTTCAAATAACAAAAAATAGACATATGACACAAATTAGCAATAACTAGTCAACAAACATCTGTTTGAAAATAATAGGATGGGATTTTGCCATGATTAAGTTGTAGCTGTGTTCAGTAAGATTAAGTGATGACTCCGAATGCTACAGCAGATTCCCAAATTAGATGTGCTCCACATGTGTGGAATTCCCAGAATTTCCTAGCCAGGTTGGACCTAGCAGAGAATTCTGGCATCCAGATATAAGGGGGATAACAATGTTTGGAAAATTTGTAATATTGTATGTTAAATTTTAGTTCCAGAAAATATTAAAATGAATCCAGAATCTCAGAATCCAGAACAAAACTTGTCCCATCTTATCTTACCTTACCCACTTAAAAATTTCATTCATCTTGCCTGAATTACATAGTTTTCCATTAAGTAAGCTACAGAAGATATATTTGGGAAACATACACATTTGCCTGATATCTGTCTTTGGTTCTATTGTTATCTTCTTGCTAGATGTAAATGCCTAAAAGAAAACTGAATTTCATCAACCGCGGCACGGCGGGTTTGACACCCATGTGTTAGAGGTTTCATGGTGATGGGAAAAGCACTGTGAGAGACTACAACCAAAAGTGTGTAATAATTCCATTTTTTTCGTATCTTCTCTCTTTCTACCACCCTCTTTCTCTTCCAAGCGGTGGGCTGGAGGAAAATAACTAATAATTGGAGGAGGGAGGTTGAAAGTAGCCCTAAGGCAAAGTGCTGGTTCCACCAAACTTTAATTATTGTGTTTTAAGTTTATAGAAGGGCCAAAGAGTTAGCTTCATATGTTCAAGTACAAGTAATATAGACTGAACTATGTGTGATATTTCCTCTTAAACTGATTTTAAAGAACCTTCACAGCCATTAAAATGGATTCAATATAAAGAAGTTATATATTCTCATGGTAGCTTCACTCTGCCTCCTCTCCAGAGAATATGCCAAAGAGTCAGAGGTTCTGCAAATGGACTACATTATTAAATGTAAGCAAAGGGAGATCCCAGTAATTAGGTGGCTATATTATTCATTTAGCAAAGCTCTGGACTGAACAAATGCCTACACTTGTTTCAGAAAAATTCAGCTTCTGCCAAAACAATAGTCCATTCTTAATAGAATCTTTAAAATACAATGTTGGGGGAAAGGATCAAACTAATCTGCTCTAGCTTGCTCAGTTTCACATACATAAATCTGGATCCATCTAATTATATTTAGCAGTTTGCTCTAGTTTCTTTTACTGTTAATAGTAATATATATTATAATTATACTTGTTTAAAGCTTTTCATCTTCATGGTACTTTACTACCAATTTCATTTCACAGCACTCCTGTTATGTTTCTGTATTTATGTACATTAGTCAAAGATAATATTTTTTGAACACTGCTTTTAAATGAAAAAGCAACTCATATTACACACACAAGCTTCCTGCCATGTAGACCATATTACTCTTAATAGCAACTATGTAATCATGAACATAAATTAGAATCCATCTTTGAGATATAACACATGTGGATAATGATCAACATTTATTGCTAATTAATTACTGATAAAATTGAGCATGTATCTAAGGGTATCTGTGAAGTATTTTTGTGGCAAACGGTAATCACATCATATAGGGAGACATCTTCTGGTCTTGTTTTTAATTCAAACATTAATTCAAAGAGTGTAAATTTGGATCATTATTTGTTTTCTGTAACAAGAACCTTAATCACTTGCTACTCATTATAAGGATTAAAAATAATTCCAGCATGAAGCCTGCTGGAAATGAAGTTGGGGATTTTGCTGCAATCATTTTATGGCCGGACAGGACCAACATTAGCCGGAATAATATTCATCCTTACATGTAAAGAATCTGTGGTGGGAGTGACTGGGGGTGAAGTTGTTTTCAAAACTACTACTACTACATATGTGTCAGAAACACCTACCAAGGCGAAACATTACAATGTTACTGAAATCTACGTTTTTTTAAACTAAAAACAAAAGAGCATTTTTGCTACCACGTGGAACTCTTTCAAAGATACTAACTATTTCAGGACTGGACAAATCACTGGAAAATATTACACAATCAGCTTAAAATGTATCAAGAGTGTAAAAGTATTTTGTTCTCTTCCAAAAGCCCAAGATCAATATAAGCTGAGTTTCTGAAAATTTGAAAACCCACACATACCATAGAATGTATACTCTGTATACAAAGAACAAACTTCCAAACCACTTCACAAAATTTAGAAGGTAAATGCAACCACTTGATTTGATTTAATTTGGCACTCTTTTCTCAAAGTTCCACATCACTGGAGTTAAAATTTATTGGATCAGAATATTTTCCCTGAAAGCAAATCCATCCCTTTGAGTCATGGGTAGACAAGGAGCTGTAGCTTCATGCTCTTGGCTCCATCCCTTAGACCACACCCCTTGATAAGTCCTATTTTCAGCATGTATATAGAACGCAAGGATTTCAAAAGTTATACCTATGTGCAAGGTCTATGGAGATTCTCAGTCATCAGGTCATGGTTGTCCCAAAGGTGCTTTTTCCAAAGTCCAGTTGCTTTTTGAAAAGCACATTTGGTAGATTTGTGTGCAACAGACTGTTGTTCTCATGTTCATGTTTTCTTTACCAGCAGTTTGGTGGAGTATGATCCGCCCAAAGATGTGATATTAGGGCTACTCTTCCTTTAGTGTCACATAGTGTTCTATAAGCAAAGTAAGACATGAATGGGGATGAGGGAATTATCATGATAAATACATAGACTTGATAGACTAATACTTTGGCTTATTTTAAATTAGCTTCCTTTATTATGATGCCATTTGGCTAGGTTTGCAAAATAATTAATTCACAGTAACGGGAATCCTCCCTCCCTTTTTAAGACACACCCAGATTCTTCTCGCTTAGTAAGTACAACTAAGTTTTCTGCCTGTTCGCCAAATCAAATCAAACATGCTGTTTGAAATCTGGGCATAAGTGTAAACATTACCATCCAAATCTTGGTTTTTAGATTTCATTCCCTTCCTCATCACACTGAAACCATGTATCAGTAGCTTTTTTTATCCATATTTTTCATCATTTTGGCATTTTGAAGATTATCCATTATTATGTGCCTGTATTCATTTTGTTCCTTCCATTTTGACACATTAGTATGTATACACATGAAACCTACATATATACAGGTCATCACCCAAATGCATAGTAATTGAGTTTATATGCACATATAAGTTGGTTATTAATACGCAAGAAAAAATGTATTTCATTCTTATATTAGAACTATCTAAAGTAAAATTACAGCTAAACACATTTTATTAATTTTAATCTTTATCTGACACATTAAAATCACATATTGACAAAAAAAAAGTTCTGTTCACATTTTTAATCCTAGCACATCCTAAATGCAAACCTTAAAATATGAAGACAGTAATCCCATTGTAAGCAGTTAAACGATTTCAGCACAATTTAGTTTAAACCCCATTAAAGTCAAGATAATGGTGACTTAATCCTGTTTCAAAACTTTCCCTGGGGTGTAAATATAATTCACTTTATTTAGAGATAATCCTCTGCTAATTATTATTCATAATTACAGCATTATTGTCCAGTGTCCACTAAACCTGAGCAGAGTGTCTTAATAAGCAGAGTGTTATTACAAGAGAGGTGGAAAAACACATCTGGCTTTATTGTTGTCTTTAACTAAACCAAAACAAAACAAAGATCACAAATCAATAATGTTTCCAATTTTAGAAAAGATAGTTCAGTCATAAAATATTCAATAATATAAATAAGGAAATATTAGGAACAATGTTATATTTTTCTTACATAAACACCTGAAGATTGCCAAGAATGAATTATACTGGAAACAGTCTTCTCAATATCTTTTTCCACCCTTTGAATTTTTGTCCTCTAGGTGATCCACCACAAATTGAAAATTCTTTGGCTTTTTTTATTTTTTGAAAGAGATTGATGGTCTTGAGGTCATTTCTTTCTATAGACTGTTTTCCTAACTACAAACTTCCTCAAATTCACTGTAAGGAGATGAAGCTAATGAAGTTTTAGATTCTCCATCACTGTTGCATTCTCTTCTTAAACCAGGACCAGAAACTCCTGGTGCATCTGTAGCTGGAATGGCTACCTTATTATTTGTTCCTAGAGGATGATATTCCAGCAAATTCTGAAGGTGTTTGATGTAAGTGATGGCAGCTCTCAAAGTCTCCACTTTGCTGAGACGCTTCTCAGCAAGCTCTTTGGGAAGATGGTCTCTGAGGCGTGCATAGCCTTCATTTACACAACGAACCCTCTGCCTTTCCCTCTCATTCCTTTTCCGAATGAAAGCAGGCTCAAACGAGTAGTCATAAACTCCCACATACCCAGAAAAGGGTAAATAAGAGAATCTTCCTGAATACGCATTGTAAGGTTGATGGTCCCAGTACGTTTGTCCAAAAGGAAGAGGGATGCCAAATGGTTCTCTGAGTGGTAAACCATGAGAACCGGTAACATGGCTGCTTCCAAGGGATGCCGGTCCTGAACATGAGATCCTGTTCAAGAGCCCATCATCTTTCTTACTTCCCATCTTGAAGCAATTCAGAGGTCAAATTCCGGAATAGGCTTTTTGGAATTTATCCATTGAAGGAAAGGTTAAATACGCCAGATGTTCTGCTCCACAATTTGTGATCAGAGAAGTAGGCATTGGCTTAAGGTCCATGGCAGTAAAAATGACCCTGAAATTCTGCTCTTCTATCCAAGTATCAGTTCTGTTCCTTAGTCTGTTATTAGTGAATCAGGATGCCTTCTAATTTATATGCAGGCTTCTAGGAGCATCACTCCACACTCTAAACCCAGGTTTTCCTCTGATCTTCATATTTCAAAAGATAATGAGAGGGTTCCTGTGTTTCTTTTCTTCAAGCTTGGATGTGTGACTATAGAGATAAAACCAAACATAAATAATCTTCTAGGCTGTAAACACTCCTCACATATTGTAATCCACAGTGCCCTTTGATATTACCTGTCTCTAAAAGGATGGATAACTTGAAAAGTTTGCAGGCATTTGCCAAGAGTTGCCAAAGCTCCACCTCTTTCTCCTCAAGAATCGAGGATCTCCTGTCAGTTGAAAAAATTAGCCAAGGGCTTTCTTTGTTGAAATCCAAAACACAGGGGCAGATTTGCATCTTCCGCTGTTTTAAAATAATGGCATCAGTCAGTTCATAGAAGTTTGCAGATTTAAACTGCATCTGACAAGTTGTGATGTGATGTGTATGTCCCTATGTGTGTGAATGTGTGCAGAAATGTGATATATAGAGTATTAAAGGAAAGAGTGCTCCCTTGTGGTTGAGAGTTTGACAGATGAGGCATATTTGCAAACATGGTTGGTAGGAATTGTCTAGCATTCTTTAAAATGTGTGCAGCAGCAAAAGAAGGTATTTGCTAAATTCAATACATGCAACTGCAATAAGGGCATCTGATTCTTCTTCCATTTACCCATTTCACAACCCTTTTTCCCTTGTTCTCTCTGGTGAATTATAGATGTAATGAGTTTTGGAGCAATCATCTGTACTTCAAAATATACTATATAAATTATGTGCATCATTGTCACTATTAAATCAATCATTTTGGTTCCACTATAATTATTCCTTGTTTTATATGCATCTCTTAATGCAGAGTTCTAGGCCACATTTAAAAATACATTTTTCCTATTTTTTTAAGCAATTTCATTTTTTTCAGGAAAAGAAATGAATTGTATTGTTAAATTTGTATTGTTTGTATTTGTATTAAATTTGTATTGTTATTTATGTATTTTAATTGATTGTCAGCCGCCCTGAGTCCTACGAGGAGAAGGGCGGGATATAAATCCAAATAATAAATAAATAAATAAATAAATAAATAAATTGTTTGAAAATGTTGTAATTTGGGAGACTTTAAAATGGTATTGTTCATGAAACAAAAGGAAATATAAACATTTTCCACTTCAAAACAAATGTATATCACAGAATAACATATCCTATTGAGCATGAAAATCAGGCTTGTCAGATGCTATATTTTTTCTATCCTGCTCTATGGAGTAGAGAGTTGGTCTCTGACAGGCCACCTGAAGAGACTGGAAGCATTTGAAATGTGGATTTATAGGCGGCTGTTACGTATAAGCTGGGTTGACAAGAGAAATGAGGAGGTGATAAGCCGCCTGGGAAAGCCCAGGGAAATCATCAAAACAATGAAAAAAAACAAAAATTAGAATATTTTGGACATGTGATGCGACACCCAGAAAAATTTGGCATACTCCATTTAATCCTCCAGGGAAAGATTGAAGGCAAACGAGGTCCAGGCAGAAGAACATTGTGGCTTCAAAATCTAAGGGACTGGTTTGGACAAAACTCAGCAGCACTTTTTCGTGCGGCTGTTGATAAAAACAGGATCGCCAACATGATTACCAATGTCCGATAACGGATATGGCACAAGAAGAAGAAGAAGAATTGAGCATGTCCTGTCTTGCTTATCAAAAAGGGATAGGAATTGTTCTTCAAACTGTAATATAAAAAATATGATAAATGTAATTGTGTTAGATACTAATCTAAGCAAGTTAACTCAGTTTCTAGGTAAGTATTTTTCCCTTTTTAAAGATATCCTTAGCTCTTTAGGTTCCCCCCAAGCCATTCCTATTTTCCTTTTCTCCACATGGAAATAATATAGAACTGCAAAAAGAAATTTTTTTATTTGCTTGTTTCAATGCAGCCAACACTGACTCTTGGCTCTTCACTCAATTTTTTTAATGGAACATTCTATTTTTTTTCTTTTTTGATGAAATCTTTGTAGCGTTTAACCAAAAAAAAAGAGTGTCTTTTTATGAACCAAAGTGAAATTTCTGCTACTTGAATCTACAGAAGAGGCATGGTGGCCACTGAAGGTAATGGTTAAATTATCATGAAAACAGGATCTGAATAAAACATCACTGTATATGCCATCATTTTGGTGTCATCATTTTATGCAGATGCTGCTAACTACAAAGTTAATAATACTGAGTATATTTAATGTACCTTGTGGTTTCTTCTTCTCCATGTAGAAGATTATCACTTGTCCTTTGGAATATTTGGGGTACAGCTTTATTTGCCACAAGAAAACATTTATTTAAAAAGTTCTTTACAATAGCATTGTTTCTCCATTTTATGCTCATGGATACCATTATATTATTTACCTATTTTTCATAGTGTTTAGATATTGTCCTTTATATAAGAAGGAAGCAGTAGAGCTGACCATGTTTGAAATTTGTAAACAAGTGTTGATTTCCTGAACTATCTGCTATTCAGCAGTACAGTAAAATATTTTTTTTTACATTTTTACACTGGGCAGTTTACAATGAAGAACTCATGCACTTCAAAAGAAACTGATCATTTCGGAATGAAAAAAACATTGAATTTTTAAGATGAATCTCTTTGAAGGAATTGGTACCAGAAGTCAATGCTTGCTGGTCTCTTCCTGCAAACACATTTTTCTCTGGCATTTGCCTTTGAAACTTCGACGACAAGCAGGACCAGATTACAATAGGACAAAACCACGTTTAGGGAGAAACTGCTGTTTGATTCTGAATGAAATGTGCAGATTTTTTAAAATAAAGCATACAGCTTGTATGCATGTGAGATAATTGATCATAATACATACAAACTTAACTCCAGGAAGGCTGACTGCCTAGTTATACATTGCTATGAGAAATCCACTATTCTTTCAGCTGTCAGAGGAGAGAGATACAGCTGTTATATTTTGTCATGCCCTCTTGTAGTGGGTTTCCTGAAACCACACTCTTCTTGAAGGAAGAAGGGAACTGTTTTTCTTATCCTATGTGGTGATTTCAGTTCAGTGGTCAAAGTAGGTAAATATACTATTGTAATCTTTGGAAAATATTTCTGCAAGAAACCATTGGGTCATGGCTTTCTGATCTGACCTTTTAGTTTGGCTGCATTCTGGATCTAAAAAGCACATTCAGCACCTGATTTTCCCAGTTCTATGTCAGAACACTGTAGCATAATAATACTATCCAATATGAATATTTTTCTGAAATGCATTAGGAATGTATTTGCCTAAATGTCTTGTAAAATGCAAAAAAATGGTTTTATAAAAAAATTCAATTCGTTTTAAGTTGAAGCCATCCTTTGTTACTATAAAAATGGTAGAAAAACAACAGCAAAATTTTAAAAAGGACTTTTTAATTGCAATCAGCCTTTGCTCTAACAACTAACATCGCATGTAAATAAACTAAACGAAATTTAGCTAAGGTGTCTTGGGGTCTTATGTCAGAAAAATCATTCTCATTACATTATCTGTCATATAGCTAAGCCTTTCTTGTCTTTAAAACAGCGTATAACTTCGATGTGTACTCTAGTATTTCTCAACTTCTGAAACTTTTAAGATGCGTGGACTCCAACTCCCAGAATTCCCTAGCCAGCAAAGCTGGCTGGAGAATTCTGGGAGTTGAAGTCCACGCATCTTAAAGCGGCCAAGGTTGAGAAACACTGCTCTAAAGTACACACCAGACTGCCGGTTTAAATCCCAGTAAACTTCAGTGGAATTTAAACCATAGTACTACATTGCACAAATTGCATCAGAAAACGTTTTCCGTATTCTAGGAAGCGCCGAGCACGTTGAGCGGAGGAGAAAACCCTGCAGAAAGCAGCCGGTCAGACGTTTACACAGAGTTCGCGCGCGCGGCGGGCGGAACGTAAGGTCTGCGTTCAGACTAGCAAAGGGAGGATAGGCTACTGGCGGAAAGAGCGGGAGGGGGGCTTTTCCAGGGTATGGCACAAACCGGAAGTAATCTCCGCACCGCTTTTGGCCCTGCCCCCCTTCCTCTCAGAGGAGGAGCTCGTCCACTGCTGCACAACCGCCCTTTCCGGAGGGGGGCGCTCTGCACGGTTGGTGCGCCAATTCTTTCTGCTCTCCTTTTTCCGAGGTCCGACGGGCAGTTCGTTAGGCGGTTGTGGTTGCGGCGATGGGCGGTGGCGTGTCCGGGGCCTGGGTTCAGGTGCTGCGGGAGGTGCCTGGGTCCGCCTTAGACTGATGCTGGCTTTCTTGGAGCGCGGCGGTGGAAGGTGCTGGAGGACAAAAGCTGGAAAAGGAGAACCAGATGTGCAGGAAAAGAAGGCTGTCGCCACTGGGGTCCTCGTAGGGCCGGTCTCGACGGCAGATGCATCCCAGGTGGGATCATTGCATGTGTGTATGGCTTCTTATAAATGACGAAACAATTCTGGGGCTTAACCCAGGAATCTCGTTCTGATGCCTGAGTTTTGGTGAGTGTCTCTGAACATGTCTAGAGTTCTGTCAGGAATGACTACAGTTTGAGGGGAAACGAGAATTTAGGCAGATCACAAATTATTCTGTATAGCAGAGGTTTTAAAGATAACATTGGGTAATGAAGATTAATCATGTCATTGTGGCATATGTTTTGATGAACCAGTTTTCTTCAAAGATTAAGCAGCTGCTGTTATTTTGTGAATAAATCAGAAATGCTTCTGTTAAATTTTAGTAAAGTGAAAGAAGATTCCCAAGTGACATGTTATTTCAGGCTGTGGGACTTAACACTATGGCTGTTAGCATCTACTTAATTGCAAGTCAAAGTATATATATAAGCCAAAGTATATGTAAATTGAAAAGATCTGAAGCCAGTAGAAATACAGTCAGGTTTTATTGAACTGCCATACAAAATGTGATTGATTAATCCTTTTTTATTGTTGATATTAATGTATAAATATCTCATGAGGATATTGATAAAGACAGTGTAGAGTAGCGATCCTATTCAGCGTATTAACTCTTTCATTTCACTGTAAGTGAAGTGTTCAGTCTAACTTATTCCTATACTAGCAATGCTAAAAATGTTGTAAAAAGGCATAGTTGAGATTGAGAAATATAACATCTTCATATTCTATCTGCAAGTATTACTTTTGCAAATTTACATTTAAAGCTGTAGTTGAAAGAAGATTTAGTCACAAACTCAGGTCTAAGTGAGTTGATAAATTGGCATCTTTTCCTCAATTACATTTCTTATAGCAAAGAACTCCTTCATGTGTGGGTGGACCAAGATAGTGCCTAGTTGTCAAGTCTCTTTATGACTGTGATATAGTTGCCACAAACTCTAGTTGACTGAATTTTGACATGAAGTATAGCCATCAAGTTTCTCCCTGGTAGGAAAGGGCCTGGGATAATTGGGATTTCTCTATCATTATGGTACACAATAAGGGGCTCTTATTCATATCCGGTACACAAGTGATGGCAACATGTGTCCATTTCACAGCTTAGGCCTGGGCAGAGGCTTTTTCTAAACCATACCTCTTGGGGCCTATGCTTCTCTGAAAGAACAGGTCCTTTTTCAGAAAAAGAAAGGAAGGGAAGGAAGGAAGGAGGGATGGAAGGAAGGAGGAAGGGATGGAAGGAGGGAAGGAAGGAGAGAAAGAAAAAGAAAGAAAATAATCTGTCCTGAGAGATGTGGTTAATCTTGGGGACATTACGAGTGGGATCCTGCCTCTGAGAAAATTTTTGAGTACATCTCTATTGGCTTATTGTTTGTGAGCTTTGACTGGATGAATCTACATTGCTGTATTTAATGTGGTCAAATTATACTGATTCACATTTGTTGCATAGAATTATCTGTCTTTGGAAGACATTGGCCGTTTTGCCTCTGGGAATCACTGCTGTTAATTTGCTTTCTTTCAAATAGGAGGTATGCTCAAAAAAGGGACTGATTCAGAGCCTAGTTCTTGTGTGTCTGTTGTGTGAATCCAGGCAATGTTGATCAGAGTGTCAATTACAAAGCCTAAATGAATTAAATATTCATTAAATGAACAAAGACAGGGAAGAAGAAACATATTCTGTATGTTTAATTCTAATTAGATAATTATCAGGGTTACAAATGTTTTGCTGACAACTAATTTGCAGTGGGTTCTAAAGTGTGGCAGTAATAAGGATGAAATCCATGAATATCGTTTCTTTCTAAAACAGTTATAGTTCCAATCAGTCTAAAAAGATTGTGATTTTTATTTGTGCTTAGTAGCTTTTTAAATAATCAAGCAACATTTTAAAGATGGCAGTTAACATGTAAGAATTATAAGCATGAAACTGCTTTTGGAACTGCTGTGATCTCAATATATGCCTGCAACATTTTAAAAATTGCAGATTTAATAGATCATTCAGAGGTGGAGTGTTAATTCCCAAATATCTGTTTAACTTGAACAATGTTTAATCACAGTGGTGTACAGTATTTGTATGATAATATGACATGAATTATGTAAACTATCACAATGTACGTAATGTAGATTTAAGTATGTGATCTAAACTGCTTGGATTAATGAACTTGTCTATTATGTTGAGGGATGCCCCGATAGAAATGTCCATTGCATCCAGTGCCCAATAAATGGTTTTTCTTTAAATTGATTTATATTTAATATTGAATTTATTACTGGTACCACTATTACTGGTACTGAATTTATTACAGTTTAGTTTTGGTAACCTTTAAGAAACACACAGAAGTATGGGAAATTAAAACATTAGCAAACTCTTAAATATTTTAACTTACAGGAACTTCCATACTTATCCTGATTTGGAATTCCAGATTGCTTTTATACAGTGTCAGGATATTTTAAAATCTGAGTCAGTTTTATCTTGTCCCATTGCACTTTATTTGAAATTGGAATTAAGCTATTTTTTTTCTTTGCGGCGTTGTAATGCTACGGCATTTGTGTGGCAGTCTGGTTTCCCTTTGGCAAACAATCTTGAAATACCCTGCTTCTCAGTTCTTTGACTGTTTCTTTGGAGTCTTTTATTAAATGGCTGGAGGAATAGAAAAGATAAAGGGAGTGGAGGAAGAAAAGCAAAACAGCATGATCTATTTTTCTCTAGCAGATGTGCATTCCCTAAAACCTCTCCAGAAATTTCCAGTGAATTTTAATTTTTAATATGATACAAAGAGATATTAAAATAATGAAATTGATATTCACTTATAGTATTGAAATAACTTATTTAAATAAATTTAGTTTTTGCCTTGATTTTCCGGTTTAGAGTGCAGCCCCTTGTTATCATTCAAAAGAAAGTGTAGTTCTCAACCTAAAGCTGTAAAACCCTGTTTTGTACCATGTTCTATATGTTTGTTAAATGCCAAAGTCATGTATTGTGTACATTTTAAATATCCCTTTTTTGTCTAGGATGAATGAAATGAGTCTGAGCCCTGTGGGGATGGAACAGCTGGCAGCTTCTTCTGTGAGCAATGCCCTAGCTGTCGCAGGAAATCACATAGCTTTGACCTCTTCACCCACCCATAATGCTATACCAGCACCAGGTAATGTATCAAGTCAGGATGAAGAGAAATTTTGTTGATGTTTTTTTATTTCTGTGCTTTTCAAATTGGGAGATGATGTGACATGTCTAAAACCAGTTTTAGGAAAGTTGATTTTGCTTTAATACTTTTTCTTCAGTATTTTGCTATTGGTTCTTAGATGCAGTTTTCAAGAATTGAGCATCTTTCCATTATTACAAAAAAAAAGTCAGTGTCAACTTGCAATAGAAATGTGACACAATTAGAATATTGTGAACAAAAGTAAATGTATATTTTAAGTCAGGTTTACTCCATTTGAGTTGAAATAAAAATCTCTAATGACCTTTCCAGTCTTAATCTCTGTGCATCCAATCTCCCCAAATGTTTTATCAGTTGTAGACTAATTATTTTGTTTTTTATTAGGATTACCAGTTGCAATTCCAAATTTGGGGCCCTCATTACCATCTGCTTTGTCTCTGATGCTTCCAATGGGCATTGGAGATCGAGGAGTGATGTGTGGTATACCAGAGAGAAATTATACCCTACCTCCACCACCTTACCCTCATCTAGAAAGCAGCTACTTTAGACACATTCTACCTGGTATGTAGTGTGATACAATAGATTTTGTATAGAATCTTAGCATCAGTTATATGGGGCAATGGTTAACACTTTACTGTAAGTTGAAAGCCTCAATTGAATTGGCAACAGGATATACATTTTACAGGTGAATAGGGATGTGTTGAACATTCTTTTCCTGATTTATAATTCTGTTTTATTTATTTGACAATTATTACAATAATAGATATGATCTGGAATTGTGGAAGTGAACTTGTGTGTTTCTTTTTCTCATGCCTTAATAATTCTTTAAATTACATGGACTCTTTATTTGCAAGTCATGAGAGGTGTAAATACTGAACCTTAAGCTTATTGGGTGCATTAGTGCAAACTGATTTTCCTTATGTTCAGCAATTTAAAACTTGACTTGTTAGTATGAAACAATGTGTTTATTTTTGCCTTTCTTTCATTTCTCTTCTTCAGGTCTCATATCTTACTTAGCTGACAGACCTCCACCTCAATGTATTCACCCCAACAATATCAATGTTGATAGTAACTCAGCTTTATCTGTCTCCAATAATCCTTCAGACTTAGATCCCTACCAGCCCAATGGATCTGTGGGTCTTGAAGCAGGCATTGTCTCCATGGATTCTCGTTCAGTGAATGCACATAACACTCAAAGTTTGCATCCCAGTGATGGCCACGATGTAGCTCTGGATACAACAATCACCATAGAAAGTGTTTCAAGAGTTACCAGTCCAATCTCTAGCGACAGAATGGCTGAAGAACTTAGGATGAGTGATGTAGGTGGAGATCATTCACAGATTGCAAATGGCAGCCGTAATCATGAGCCTCTAGCAGTGGATGGCAGTTTAGCCTCAGAAACTGTAGGGCATAATGGTGTCATCCCTATCCATGGTAACAGTTTGGAACTTCCTGTTGTTATGGAGACTGACCACATTTCAGGCCGTGTCAATGGGATGCCTGACCGAACACTTGGGGATTCTATTCATACAGTGGCCATGAGCAGCAATTCTGTCAGTGTTGCGCTTTCTACCTCACATAATCTCACTTCCCTGGAATCTGTCTCATTACACGAAGTGGGTCTCAGCTTGGAGCCTGTAACAGTATCCTCCATTAACCAGGAAGTAGGCATGGGACAAAATCATGTGGATGTCTCCTCAGACAATCTTGCTTTTGTGCCATCATCATTGCAAATGGAAGATTCCAATTCCAATAAGGAGAATATGGCTACATTGTTTACAATATGTGAGTATGTGTCAGTATGTCTTAAACAGTATTTTCCAGCTACTTCAAAAAAATTAACTTATCCTGCTTTTAAATGTATGTACTTGAGACAAAATCCAATGGAGTTATAGAAGAAGTTTACAGAAGATGCAGAAAACTGGGACTAAACATTTAACCAATGGTTGAATTTACATAGGACTGTAAGCCATTATTTAACTCTGGTTAATGCATCCCACTTGGCATAGCTCGTTAAGCAAAAAACCAACTAACTATAATTTGGCTTAGTACACAATGAAAATCCATTGTGGACGCAAGGGGAAGGCAACGCTTCTGAATGGATGGATACAGATATAAAAAAACTAAAGAGGCTGTGGATTGTTTTGCAGGGTTTCAGTCATTGAACAGATCAACTTTCACTTCTTTCTCCTCTCAGTTCAGAGAAATTGGCATGTGTATAAGCATCTGTTTTTCATATGTCTTGAATGCTTTTACATTTAATGTTTAATTACAATTATTCAAAATACATGAACCAATTTTCATTTGTTTACTTGTAAATCTTCCAGATGACTTTCTCTTGAGTTATGCACATCTTTCATTAGCCAGTACTGCAAGTAAATGAGAGAAAAACTCAACTTCCTAAGTTCTATGGTTGTAATAGGTGGACTGCCGTAGTGGATTTTCCTTACTTACTTGCAAGTTGAATGTGAAGAAGAATATATTTAATAATAATAATAATAATTAATAATAATAAAGTTGGAAGGGACCTTGGAGGTCATCTAGTCCAACCCCCTGCTCAGGCAGGAAACCCTATACCATTTCAAACAAATGGCTGTCCAGTCCCTTTTTAAAAACTTCCAGTGTTGGAGCATTCACAGCTTCTGGAGGCAGGTTGTTCCACTGGTTAATTGTTCTAACTGTCAGGAAGTTTCTCCTTAGTTCTAGGTTGCTTCTCTCCTTGATTAGTTTCCATCCGTTGCTTCTTGTCCTGCCTTCAGGCGCTTTGGAGAATAGCTTGACTCCCTCTTCTTTGTGGCAGCCCCTGAGATAGTGGAACACTGCTATCATGTCCCCCCTCGTCTTTCTCTTCATTAAACTAGAATTTGTAGAAGAAAATTCACCTGCAATTACATGACCTGTTTTCCTCATGAAGGAATCCATATCTCAATTTTGCAAATAAATTTGCTTCTCATGCTCAATATATGGACTAATGGACTATACTCAATATAGTCTATAAAAATATTTAACCAGTATTATATTATGTCTCTAACCTTGTTCCCCATCAAAAGCTAATGTTTGTAAATTTTCTGTATCACTTCAAGGTAAGTTTTATTTGACCCTGGCATCAAGGAAAGAAACATTTTATAAGCATAGGTCTAATAAATACTATTGTGTGGGGGTTTTTTGTACCCTCATCTTGCCTGTCTCTTATAGCAGCATTCCCCAACCTTTCCAGCTTGGTGGACCAGCGGAGATGGTGGTGGCAGGGGAGGAGAGAGGATGGTTTCGCGCACATGCATGTGCCACTTTCACAAATGCAGCTGTGCACACATGCACACTTACCTACCACTTCTGCAGCCCAGTTCGAAATGAGTTAAGGCCAGGCAAAGGGTTGCAGACAAAGGGTTGGGAACCCCTGTGTTACAGTAACTGACAGGAGCAATTCTCTCATTCTGTGTGCTTTTTTCTTATCCACAGGGTGCACCCTGTGTGACAAGGCTTACCCATCAGATTGCCCAGATCATGGGCCAGTGACTTTTGTTTCTGACACTCCAATAGAGAGCAGGGCCAGACTTTCTCTCCCAAAACAGCTTAATATCCGCCATGCTGTCATGGGACCTGAAGATGGTAAGAAGTTGTTTATTGTTTATTGTATATTCTCATTTTGAAACATAATTTGATACGGTAGCTGGACAATAAAAGCCACTATTGTACTGGGGAAAGAATGTGAATCTGGACAGAGCTTTATTATTAAGCATACAATACAATGCAATCTCTATGTGGTAAAAGTTAAACACATATTTTTGCAAATTTGTATGAAATTACTGTTTCTTTGCAATTGTTTACACCAGGGGTCTGCAACCTTAAACACTCAAAGAGCCACTTGGACCCGTTTCCCAGAGAAAAGAAAACACTGGGAGCCGCAAAACTTGCACGCGTGCACGTGAGGGGGGGGGAGCTTGATTAAAGAGTTTAAAAAGAAATAGAGGCTGCTGTGCATGAGTTCTTTCTCTCTCTCTCTCTCTCTTCCCCCTCTCTCTTTCCTCTCCCTCTTTCCTCTCTCTTTCTTCTCTCTCTCTCTTTCCTCTCCTTTTTCTTTTTCCTTTCTCTTTTTCCTCTCTCCCTCTTTCTTTCTCTTTCTCCCCCCTCTCCCTTTCTGTCTCTCCCTTTTTCTCTCCCTTTCTCTTTCTCTCTCTTTCCTCTCTCCTCTCCCTCTCTCTTTCTCTCCCTCTTTCTCTCCCTCTTTCCTCTCCCCCCTCTTTCTTTCTCTCTCTCTCTCTCTCTCCCTCCCTCCCTCCCTCCCTCCCTCTCCCTCTCTGCGATCTTCTGCTCACCTGGCAAGCTGGCTTCAAGCTGTTCTCCAACGAACTGACACACTTTCTATTATGGACTGGGTTTCTCCTGCCGTTCCTGCTTCCTGCAGAGACGCAGCAAAGGAAGAAGCCCCGCCCAATAAGCTTGTCAGCTCGTCGGAGAACACCGTGAGGCCACTCTCTTTTACACACACACACACACACACACACACACACACACACACACACAGAGAGAGAGAGAGAGAGAGGGAAGGGAAGCGCAAGTGCCTCTCTCTGTCTCCTCTGCAAATGGTAGAGGAAGCTGGGAGCCGGAGAAGGCTCAAAGAGCCACGTGCGATTCTGCCGATCCGTGGTTTACACATTCAAACTAAAATAGTGAATATTGCAGATGCAGACATTTTTTTTATTCAGTACTTTGTAATACCTCTTTTGGTGGGAATAACACTTTCCAAACATTTTCTGTAGCCAAGTTTCCAGCTCCAAAATAATTCTTAGGTCTCTTTGCATGCACTTCAGGCTTCAGCTTATTCATACAGATTTTCAGTAATATTCAAGCTTGAGGATTGTGGCTATTCCAGAATTGGTACCTTCTCTGTTAAGTACTTCATGATCTGTTTGAATATCCAATCTTTTTACAGTACTAACTCTTCACTGACTTTAGTTTCTAGATGTGCTGATATGTAGTTAAATGCATTCTTCCTTCCACACAGTATTTCTGTGCCACTTACTGCTATACAGCACTAAAGCATAATAGACCTACCTTCTCCTCAACGGTTGGCAGGTGTCTTTTTTTTTTCTTCCAAAAGTTGCACTCTTGTTTTTCAAATGAATCTTGAATGGCTGTGACCAGAGAGCACAGTTTTTACTTCTTCAGTCCAAAGGACTGTATTCCAAAACATTCAGGATTTTCTTTTTTAATACTTTAAACAATGAATTTTATGATGAGTTTGGAGAAAAAGGGACTTTCAGATAATTCTCTCATTCAGATGATTATTGTATTACCAATGCTGTACTGTGAGCTGATAGATAACTACTTCACAATCTTTTTAGCAGATTGCAGTGGTTTTCAAGTTCTGTTTTGCAGATCTGAATAGTTTTTAGGCAATTGTAGATAAGATTTATCTTGGTGTTTGCCTTGATCAGTTCAAACACTCAGACAGTTATTTAGATGATCTCATGGTTGTTGAAAATAGGCGTTTGCAGAGTTCTTGTTCATACGTGGAATTGTTTTACTCTGATTAATTATAGGGTACAAAGATTTTACAAATGATTTTATAATAAAAAATAGTACTAAATTAACTGAGACTTCAAAGTTTTGCCTGTTATACCCACTGTGTTCTTATTTAAAGGTGTAAGCAACTGGACATAAATCATAAATATGCATTCAGATTTCCAGAAATATATTGTACTTAACTCTGTACCATGTTGAAGTTGTGGCTTTTGTTCACTTGGGAATTCATTCAAACATAATGCTTTAATAGGAATGTCTAATCTTTGCAGGTAAATGTATATTCTTATGAAAACAGTTATTAGAGGCATAGCAGTTATGTTAAATATCCTCATAAAATTAAAAAATCTAACTGTTCCGGAAAAAGATATGTTTTGAAGAAGAAGGTTGAACATCTAACACTATTATATCTCCCAATCTAATAACAAAATTTCATATGTGCAAATTGATGGTAATGAAGAATTATTGCTTTCTTTTAGGTGGGCAGTATTGTCAATTATCAACTTGTCTTGGATCTCCTTCTTTAGGTATGACTATTACCTTTACTTTGGCAATGGGTCTCAGGTTAGCAGTGAATGGAAATAGGTATTCATAGAAAATAATATAGTTGTACTTGAGTTTTTATATATGCTTAATATATTATTATTATATATTATTTATATTCTATTACATTTTACTTTACTAGTCTGATTTTCAAAAATGCCCTTTCCCTTTAGCTGCTCTTATTTAATTATGTTTTGGCTTTATTTCTATTTTTAGATGAAATTTAAATATAATGTGATTTCATTAATGCTTAATCAAACATTGTTGCTGAAGCAATATTCATAAGAAGTTTGAAACCTTTGTTTTAGTTATATATTAATTTTAAGCACTGCCCATCTCACTGTCATTTATTGAGTTTCTTGGAGCACTACTTTCTGAAGATGGGAATGTTATAACAATATTATGGAGTTCTTATTTAAAACAACTAGTAGAATTACAGACATTCATATACGCTTGCTATATTACAGTCTATTTCTACAGCTGAATTATGAATTTTCTGTTTTTGCCGAAAGCAGCATGAAATTTTTAATGAGTGCAAGAATTCCAACTCTCACTTTCACAGGTCATTTTAAAGTCACCTCAAATGAATTAATATTAGAATAAAGTGGATCAATGCATTATCATAAGTTTACTTACAAAAAAATAATTTCTGTGATTTCCATTTTGTAGAAGCTTTCATAGATTTTTGCTTAACAGTGAAACTTACAGCATTATATTGCTTGTTGTTACTAGATTTTTCTCGGTGTAATTAGAGGACTATGATTTTTCTCCCAACTACTCATAGGTGTGTGGGCTCGGGAAACTATTCCTGTCCGTACCTGCTTTGGACCACTCATTGGTCAACAGAGTCACTCAGTAGAAGTAGCTGACTGGACAGATAAAGCAGCTAATCACATTTGGAAGGTCAGTTTGTATAATATTCTTTTTAAATAATTCCCAAGCAAAACTACTTGATTGCATTAGGCTCTTCTGCACATACAAAATTAGAACACTGCATTCATTACAATAAGCGATAAAAGTATTTTAATGAATAAAATTATTAATTGCCATATATAGATTTACTCTCCTGTTCCTATATTCCAAAGACACTTATCTGTTTTTTTCCAATAAATAGTGCTTGGGAAAGGAATGTTATCTTAAGCATTGCAGTCCAAAATCGGATTCACCACTATGGTCTTTGCTGTTGATGTCCTCCTTCCATCAACTCATTATCAAGTACCAGGGTTCAGATGATGCATTTTGGAAATTGGGGCAGAAGAGAATGTATCCTGTTACGAAAGAGATAATCCCCTGGCACAGAAGTTCATCCAAATGTCTATATGTATTGCTTTGATTTTTTAAGTCATAGTGAGTGGAGACTGTTATCATATGTTTTGTGCTTATGTTATTTGCCTAGCCCTAAAGGAAGTGATGACTAACTTCATGCAGCTGCTAAGGTGTTCTCTTCACTTTGTAGGGAGATTTTTAACCATCTGAGATGGCTCTAATCTTCTTTCAGATGTATCACAATAATGTTCTGGAATTCTACATCATCACAACAGATGAAAATGAATGTAACTGGATGATGTTTGTGCGGAAGGCCAGGTGAGAAAAGGATAAAACTACAACAACAAAAACCAACAACAAAGATTTCTAAGTAATTACATGATAATCCTATTATATCTCACTAGATATTTTATAACATAATACTGTCATTTTTCTAAAAAAAAAAATAAGATTAAATATTTATTGCTCAATATTCTGGACTTGGAATAAGTGGTGTGGTGGCCTAGTGGTGAAGATGCTGGCCTCCACTTGGAAGGTTGAAAATTCAATCATAGATAGCAGCAGATGTCTCTCTCTTAGGGCGCAAAATAAAAATATCTGGTGCAAACTCCATGTAGGCATCAGGAAGGTCATCTGGCCAATAAATACTCAGCTCCATCCAGTCGCCCCCAACTTTATCCTGAATTAAGGGATTACAGGGTCATAAAAAGAAAAAAAATCTGGACTTGGAATAGGATTGAGGATTTTTTGTTTTTTGATGCGTTCAAGTCAGCATTGACTCCTATTGACTTCCTGGACAGCTTTCTTGTACTTGGACTGTGGTATGATAAAATAGTGTTAACAGTCTGTGCCTTCAATTGAAAATAAATTGTTTCTGATAAGTAGATTAATGAACCTCATTGTTCATTCGTTTAGCCCTTTTTGATTCTTTGCAACATAATGTCAGGATTCTCTTCCAGTTACCGCTGTGAATTACAACCTTGTGCTTGTGTAACCAGGGATAGCCACCTTGTCTTCTTTGGGCTTCTTTTTCAGAGTCTTCTCCAATGACTCTTGCTGTCACATTATATGCCCAGAATATATTTGTTTCCGTGTTATCAGTCTGCAATATGGTTTTACTTCATCTGGTTGGTTCTTATGGTTCAAATGTTCTCGGCAGTTTTCTCCAGCACCACAGTACAAAAGTATCAGTTTAGATTTGTTCAGTGGTGTTGCTGCAAACTGGCTTCAGTTAAGAATATTAAATAATTGAGGGATATTTGTGATAAAAATCATATTTACATTTTAAGGTTTCCCTCTCTGTGAAATAGGAACCGGGAAGAACAGAATCTGGTAGCCTACCCTCATGATGGAAAGATTTACTTCTGCACTTCACGTGACATCCCTCCAGACCATGAGCTCCTTTTTTACTATAGTCGTGACTATGCCCGGCAGATTGGTAAGCATTTCCAAATATGGCATTTTCCAAATGTTTTAGATTTAGACTGTAGCTAAATCTAGGCCTGGAGCATTGACCATACTGAAAATTATTTCTGGAAGTATGATCCAAGTGGGGAGCTTAAATATGATATGTATAAAATTTTAGCTTATGATTTATATATTCCTCTATCAGATCTGATTGGATTTAGTAATAAGCTATTCCCTTTCTTCATATTTCAACAAAATATAAGATTGAAGCTTATGCATTTTCAATTTATAATGCCTTTTGTTATATTCCTGTTATTTTGGGGGTTTGTACTTTCTGCTGCATCATACACAATTACCTCTCTTAAAGGTGTTCCTGAGCATCCTGATGTGCACACTTGTCACTGCGGAAAAGAATGTGCCTCCTATGCAGAGTTTAAGGTCCATCTGAGTAGTCATCTCCACAGCCACTTCCCCAGTCAAGAACACAGCAGTACCCACGGATCAGGACACAGTAAGGAAAGGAAATGGAAATGCTCTATGTGCCCTCAAGCTTTTATATCACCTTCTAAGCTTCATGTTCACTTCATGGGACATATAGGCATGAAGCCACACAAGTGTGATTTCTGTAGCAAGGCCTTTAGTGACCCCAGCAATCTGCGTACTCATCTTAAAATCCATACAGGTAAGTGGGGAAGAACAAATTTAAAGTTCTTTTTCCAAACAAGTATTTAGAACCTCTGTTGAACTATATTGTCACAGTGAAGACTAGGCTTATTTGTTCTTTCTTAGAATGGAAAATTGTGTTGCCTTGTTATTAAGATTTGATCATGTGTGACATACAGTATTTTAGAGACCAATTGGATTTTGATTTTGGATGCGACCTCCCAAATTTGTAAGTGACTATCTTTAGGAAACTATTTTTCTTTTGTCCTTTTGCTAGAGATAGACAGTTGAAGAAGCATAAAACTAAAAGAACCTAACAAAGAGCAGAATATCTAACAATTTTCGAAAAGCAACTTTGAAATCTTTGAATTGGAGAGTTATGTGTAGTTTGTTCCCTATAGCACAACATAAGATTCATGCATATTACATGCTGTTAGTTACTTATACACCACTATAATCTATTGTATAGCCCTATTGTAATATTAAACATATTGATAACTTGGAATTTCAATTATATTTACTGTTCTGTGAATGGGATGGGATGAAATGATCTTATGTCTCTTCAGGTCAAAAAAACTATCGCTGTGCACTCTGTGAAAAATCTTTTACTCAGAAGGCACACCTAGAAACACATATGGTTATCCACACTGGAGAAAAAAATCTGAAATGTGATTATTGCGATAAACTATTTATGCGGCGTCAAGATCTCAAGCAGCATGTGCTCACCCATACACAGTGAGTCATTCAGGAGACATTCCAAATTATTTGTGTGTGTTTATTTTATTGCCTACAAACTAAAGAGGTTTTTTTTAAAAAAGACTCATGATAGTAATAGGAGTAACAGTTCTCAGAAGAAACCCAGATTTATCAGAAGAAAAAAGTATTATGGTAAATAGTGTCAAAATGAAGGCTGATAAGCTGGTATTTAATTCCCTTATCAAAAAAGCATATGAAAACCCATGATGAGTGGCAGAGATCAATGATGACCATTGCATATACAGTATAAGACTGTTATTTGGGACAGAAGAGGAGTAAATGGTAAAGGGCATGAATTAATTTGTGACACAAAATTAAAGATACATTGTGCACCTGTGAAACAGAAATATAAATCTCATTGGAAAATGTAGTTTTGTGGAAATAACTCATGCAAGTACTTGAAAGTGTAGGTTTAATTATGAATGAAAACCTAAAACCAAGTGTATTGTAAATGCACATGAAAGTAAGAATTCATAGATTCTTTGCATGTTACACTTCATTTAATGGTGAAAATAGAAGAACTAACAATGAGTTTTATGAAAATGTATGCAATTGGGAAAAATGTATTTTGCTAGATAACACAAATGAGGGAATGAATACAGAAAAATGCTTGGGCTATTCAGACATGAAATGGTGGTTTGATGAGTATCTGTTTAAGTAAAAGTCTATTTTGATTATAAAATTAAGCATAAGGCTATTCATATACACATTAAAAGGAATTAATATAAATCTTAAAACTATTAAGTTTGATTATAAAGAAATGAGAGATCTTACAATGATAAAGAGATTCTGAATGTGACACAGACCATTTTTGCTAGTATCAAAAGAGGATTTTAGTTGAAAATGGATATGTAAGAAACAGAAACTGACTAATCTATGTCCCATAAACCTTCAAATTCAAAAGAACTATCAAATATAAAAAAATGTCTTCATGTTCTCATGACTAAAATGTTGTATCTCTTTTCCATACCCATTCCTGTTTAGAGAGCGTCAAATCAAATGTCCACAATGTGAGAAGCTATTTTTAAGGACAAATCACCTAAAGAAACATTTAAACTCTCACGAAGGAAAAAGGGATTATGTGTGTGAAAAGTGCTCCAAGGCTTACTTAACAAAATACCACCTTACTCGCCATCTAAAAATTTGTAAAGGACCAACCTCTAGTCTCTCAGCCCAAGAAGAAGAGGAGGAAGGTTCTTCGGAGGAGGAAGAATTGATAAATTCTACAACAAATGAAAATTGCCAACTCGGAACCACCATGTATGTGACGGCTGATACACTTTCTTGTCATAAATAAAACAATTTCTAAAATTATTGTTTATTTAAACTTCCACTCATTGGCCATATTCTCATCTATAATGAAAACGGCTTATCTGTTTTCAGAGTGATTGCCAAGAACATTAAAATAATATAATTACCATGTTCATCTATTAAAATGGTATCAGTGGTGACTTGGTGGATGCATGATGGATACAGCTGAAACAGCATCAGCTGTCTCTGCTAAAGATATCTTTAATGTGAAAATATGCACAAACCAAACTTTTTTCATTAAAGTGCTTTTTTTATTGAAAAAAAGCTCGTAATTTAACTTAGTTCATTAAATTGATACCGTATTTTTCACTCTATAAGACGCACCTGACCATAAGACGCACATATCTCCTTGATTAGTTTCCACCCATTGTTTCTTGTCTCGCCTTCTGGGGCTTTGGAAAATAAATTGATCCCCTCCTCTTTGTGGCAGCCCCTCAAATACTGGAATATTGCTATCATGTCAACCCTAATCCTTTTCTCTTGACTGGCCATACNAGGTAGCAGTTTTAAATCATGCAGCATAAGGATAATAACATTTGGAAAGAGAAAGAATATGCTGCAGCAGCCGACATGTTCCAGCCTTGTCCCTTCGCTTCCTCCAGGCTTCTCCCCCAACCTGCCTTCCACTCACCTTCCATTTGCTGTTTCGAGCCTGGGAAGAACACTCCTCCATCCTCCTATGGGTGAGAAGGAACAGGAAGATCCTCAGCCCTTCTCCTCTCCGCGACTTCCTTTCTAGCAATACTCGATGGTGTTGTGTTAGAGCGCCACCTAGTGACATAAGGCTTCCCTGCCAGTATATGCTCTCCTCCCCTGCACTCAGGCTTCAGCTCCAGCCAGCATTCGCTCCATAAGACGCACAGACATTTTCCCCCACCTTTTGGGGGAGAAAAAGTGCATCTTATAGAGCGAAAAATACGGTATTTGTTGTATATCAGTGAATTTTTTGCTCATTTGTTGACAACTGAGCATTCACAGAGAATTAGAAAACAAAAATACAGTAAGGGAATCAGTAAGGCATGCTAATGCTTGTGTTTGAAATGCAAGCTTAGTTTTAGCATGAATTTTACATACAAGGGTTATTCATATAGCTTTGTCTATACTGCAACTGATAACCACTTATTTTAAAAGGGAAATTATGCTGCTATTATATTTATGGAATGAAGCTATCGTTAAGATTTGTTTTCTTATAGAAAATTAAAAAACTGCTTTTTAATGTGTGTACTCGTTAGTTTTTTCCCCTCCTTTCATTTTTTTCCAGTATATTAGAAATTGTTTTTTCATCATAGCATTTTTGCTTTATTAAACCATTTATTTATCTATACATGATGAACTTCAGTCAATGTTAAGTATACTGACATTGATGGTTTTCCTAGAAGTATGTTTAAATTAATGGTCTGAATCAAAGAGATGAGAGCCATGGTATAGTAATTAAGGCATCAGATACTGGAAGACCATGAATTCTAGTCCCACTTTGGGCACAAAGCCAGATGGGTGACCTTGAGCCAGTCACTTTCTCTGAGCCCTAGGAAGGAAGCAATGGCAAACTACTTCTGAAAAAACACAGTCTCCAAGAATTGAATACAAATGGAAGGGAAGGGGGAGAGAAAATCTCAATATTGTTAATCTTAGCCATTTTATTTATGTCAGACTGGATGTTATTAATTAGCATATGCCTATACTATAAATATAGTATATTTATATAAGATCAGAGAATCATGCTCTCACAAGGTATCCAGTCCTAGTTAATAATAATGCATTTAAAATCTTCCACAATGTAGAGAGCTTCCTTTAAATTATCAGAAAACTGGCCTTTAAATAATAGCTTTTAAACCACAGACAGTGTCAAAGGAGTTAAGTAGCTGTTACATACATCAGAATGCCTAAGTAATCTTAATACAAATGAATATGTTCAGAAAATTAATTTATTATATTATTGCTAGTGTTTTTGTGTTTTACATATTCCAATTTCTAGCTGGTTAACACGTCAGAAATTTTTAAAGTAACATGACCTTAAAAGCAGGTAAAAAAGTGATTTACTTATATCTTCATAAAAAAAATAATATGCTTATTTCATGATTCCATTGTAGCTTCCCCATAGCTGCTACTGCTATTAGCAGACTTACTTCCTTCAGAACCTGATGTGGTAACTGTTAGCCTCTGTCGAGTTCCAAAAACATCATTCACTGTAATGCCAAAGAGAGAGAGAGAGAGAGAAAGGTTAAAAATTCTAATTTTAAAGAAGAAATTGACCTATTTCTTAGGATTACAAAACTAGAAAATGAGCCAGAACAGTCACCTGTGGAAATTGTACTTATGTCCCAGAGTTGTAGTCCCTGCCTTTCTCCTCCAAACGCGTAGACAAATGGTAGATCTGGACAGCAAGCTGCACAAAACAGAGCACCCTGTGGGCAGAAGACACATTCTCTTCTGATTTTCTGCTGACTCAACATATTAGCTATCTTTTAACAAACGCATTTCTAATTTAAATCAGTGAACTAAAATCAAAATTAGCAGAGGTTGCACATATCCAAAGTCTTTAGACTTTATGTATTAGAACAGGTGTCAAACTGCCGGCCCGTGGGCCTGTTACATCATACGAAGGCCGCGCCTACTTTATTTCACATAAATATTATACACACTATTAGGTTAGTAAATTACAATATTAATAGACCACTTTGATTCTTCACTCACTCCAAAAACTTAGGCTTTATAGGTATAACTGCAGAAAAACTGAAATTACCATTTTCATATCTCTGGAATAAACTAAAGATGGCTTGTTTCCTAGGATGTCCCAAATTTTCACACATTTATCAGATGATGTTGTTACAAGACATCCTTTGATTTGGCTACTTAAGTGTAGTCCTGGAAAACATAAGCAGGTGCTTTTAGTATTAAGTCAGGAAGAAAACAGAACACTCTTGCCTATAGGCCTCATTCTTTTAAGTTAAGGGATCTATGATTTAAAGGCACCCCACATTTATGGTGCAGCAATACCAACTGAAACATAACTTGTTCTATTGCCATTAGAAAAGACAAAGATACTTAAAAAATTGACAAATATATCAAAAGCTAGAATAATTCATTTCATTTAAGTTATTACAGGTAGATATATATAGCCACCCAGCTCATGAAATATAATTCTGGGTACCAACATATTAAGAATTAAAACCAAATAACACACACACACCCCAAAAATTACAAAACCAAGAATGTGGAAGAAAGCAATCAGTTGACATTACATAACCATCTTGCAGGCTCATTATGGGATCCCAAAGTCCCTGGAAAGCTTTAAGGGCCTTCTAGAAAGTAGACAGGGATGGGGCCAACCTCATCTCAGAGAGAATGATGTTTCAGAGCAGGGGCCACAGTAGAAAAGGCACACCATCTGGGTCTTGCCAGATGGAATTTCTTTGGTGATAACACCCAACGCATACCCATCCTGCCTGACATGATGGGATTGGTGGCTATAATCAAAAGAGAGGCGGTCCATCAAATAACATGGTCCTGTGCAATGTAGGGCTTTAAAGATCAAAAGCAACACCTAGAATTGGACCCCAAGCAAACTGGCAAGAGAGCAAGGACAGATGTACTTCTCCTGTCCTGCTGTCACTTAGAGAGAATTCAAAAGTGTGGCTAATGTCAAATCTAGGCAATGGCCAAAATCTGAATCCTGACTGTAAAGAGTCAGATAATCAGCTTTATCCAGCTGATAGAAGCTGCTGCTTCTACCTTCTCTAGAAAAGGGAAGTTAAATACTGGATGAAAATAGTCCAGTATAGTGGGCTCCAGGAATGGCTTTGTGATGACCCAGGGCACAGCACAGAGGCAACATAGTCAGCTGGCAGTTCAAACTGCCCTTTAATTGCTCCGAATTTCCCCCAAATGCTCCCACGTTTTTGGCAAGCCCCAGAACAAAGTAACACACACACACTTTCAGCAACCTCTGGCTGCAAGTAGTTTCACAAGTTTTTAACTCTTCAGGCAGTTCCCTCCTCTCCACTCTCTGTGCTCTAGAATCAGGAGGGGGTGGCTGTTGCTCATCACCTGAGCTCTGTCTCTCATGTTCATCCTGTCCCAATCCTGAAAGGCCCTGGCCTGCCTCAGCCTGCTCTTCCCCACATTCCTCTGAAGCCACAGACACCTCTCTCTCGACCTCCATAGGGTCCTGTTCCAACTCATTTTCCTCAGCAGATTCAGGCTCCGACGGGGGCATGACAGGCTTCTTGAGGAGACGGCAAGACAATGTCTCCTTAAAGGGCAGCAGAACAACCAATCTCTCAGAGAGTTAATTATTACTAGGATCCAACCAAATAATGCATGTTCTTTAGACAGTGTAGAATGGCAAATACAAATTTGCCTCAAAAATATGATATAACTATATATCTGACTAGAATGGGATTTCCTTAGGAAATGGGGAAAAGAAAGGCTTACCAGATACTTCTTCATCATGAGCTTTCATTGTGAAGACTGGTTTATGGGAACGAGCATCAAGATAGTACACAAATCCATCTTCTNTTCTCTTGACTGGCCATACCCATTTCCTGCAACCGTTCTTCGTATGTTTTAGTCTCCAGGCCTTGACATTTTAGTCTCTCCCATCTCCCAGCAGAAAATTACAGGTAGCAGTTTTAAATCATGCAGCATAAGGATAATAACATTTGGAAAGAGAAAGAATATGCTGCAGCAGCCGACATGTTCCAGCCTTGTCCCTTCGTTTCCTCCAGGCTTCTCCCCCAACCTGCCTTCCACTCACCTTCCATTTGCTGTTTCGAGCCTGGGAAGAACACTCCTCCATCCTCCTATGGGTGAGAAGGAACAGGAAGATCCTCAGCCCTTCTCCTCTCCGTGACTTCCTTTCTAGCAATACTCGATGGTGTTGTGTTAGAGCGCCACCTAGTGACGTAAGGCTTCCCTGCCAGTATATGCTCTCCTCCCCTGCACTCAGGCTTCAGCTCCAGCCAGCATTCGCTCCATAAGATGCACAGACATTTTCCCCCACCTTTTGGGGGAGAAAAAGTGCATCTTATAGAGCGAAAAATACGGTATTTGTTGTATATCAGTGAATTTTTTGCTCATTTGTTGACAACTGAGCATTCACAGAGAATTAGAAAACAAAAATACAGTAAGGGAATCAGGCATGCTAATGCTTGTGTTTGAAATGCAAGCTTAGTTTTAGCATGAATTTTACATACAAGGGTTATTCATATAGCTTTGTCTATACTGCAACTGATAACCACTTATTTTAAAAGGGAAATTATGCTGCTATTATATTTATGGAATGAAGCTATCGTTAAGATTTGTTTTCTTATAGAAAATTAAAAAACTGCTTTTTAATGTGTGTACTCGTTAGTTTTTCCCCCTCCTTTCATTTTTTTCCAGTATATTAGAAATTGTTTTTTCATCATAGCATTTTTGCTTTATTAAACCATTTATTTATCTATACATGATGAACTTCAGTCAATGTTAAGTATACTGACATTGATGGTTTTCCTAGAAGTATATGTTTAAATTAATGGTCTGAATCAAAGAGATGAGAGCCATGGTATAGTAATTAAGGCATCAGATACTGGAAGACCATGAATTCTAGTCCCACTTTGGGCACAAAGCCAGATGGGTGACCTTGAGCCAGTCACTTTCTCTGAGCCCTAGGAAGGAAGCAATGGCAAACTACTTCTGAAAAAAAAACAGATAGTCTCCAAGAATTGACTACAAATGGAAGGGAAGGGGGAGAGAAAATCTCAATATTGTTAATCTTAGCCATTTTATTTATGTCAGACTGGATGGTATTAATTAGCATATGCCTATACTATAAATATAGTATATTTATATAAGATCAGAGAATCATGCTCTCACAAGGTATCCAGTCCTGGTTAATAATAATGCATTTAAAATCTTCCACAATGTAGAGAGCTTCCTTTAAATTCTCAGAAAACTGGCCTTTAAATAATAGCTTTTAAAACACAGACAGTGTCAAAGGAGTTAAGTAGCTGTTACATACATCAGAATGCCTAAGTAATCTTAATACAAATGAGTATGTTCAGAAAATTAATTTATTATATTATTGCTAGTGTTTTTGTGTTTTACATATTCCAATTTCTAGCTGGTTAACACGTCAGAAATTTTTAAAGTAACATGACCTTAAAAGCAGGTAAAAAAGTGGTTTACTTATATCTTCATAAAAAAAATAATATGCTTATTTCATGATTCCATTGTAGCTTCCCCATAGCTGCTACTGCTATTAGCAGACTTACTTCCTTCAGAACCTGATGTGGTAACTGTTAGCCTCTGTCGAGTTCCAAAAACATCATTCACTGTAATGCCAAAAAGAGAGAGAGAGAAAGGTTAAAAATTCTAATTTTAAAGAAGAAATTGACCTGTTTCTTAGGATTACAAAACTAGAAAATGAGCCAGAACAGTCACCTGTGGAAATTGTACTTATGTCCCAGAGTTGTAGTCCCTGCCTTTCTCCTCCAAACGCATAGACAAATGGTAGATCTGGACAGCAAGCTGCACAAAACAGAGCACCCTGTGGGCAGAAGACACATTCTCTTCTGATTTTCTGCTGACTCAACATATTAGCTATCTTTTAACAAACACATTTCTAATTCAAATCAGTGAACTAAAATCAAAATTAGCAGAGGTTGCACATATCCAAAGTCTTTAGACTTTATGTATTAGAACAGGTGTCAAACTGCCGGCCCGTGGGCCTGTTACATCATACGAAGGCCGCGCCTACTTTATTTCACATAAATATACACACTATTAGGTTAGTAAATTACAATATTAATAGACCACTTTGATTCTTCACTCACTCCAAAAACTTAGGCTTTATAGGTATAACTGCAGAAAAACTGAAATTACCATTTTCATATCTCTGGAATAAACTAAGGATGGCTTGTTTCCTAGGATGTCCCAAATTTTCACACATTTATCAGATGATGTTGTTACAAGACATCCTTTGATTTGGCTACTTAAGTGTAGTCCTGGAAAACATAAGCAGGTGCTTTTAGTATTAAGTCAGGAAGAAAACAGAACACTCTTGCCTATAGGCCTCATTCTTTTAAGTTAAGGCAGTGGTTCTCAACCTTTTTAATGCCATGACCCCAACCGGTTGTAAGTCGAGGACTAAACCGGTCGTAAGTCGAGGACTAAACCGGTCGTAAGTCGAGGACTAAACCGGTCGTAAGTCGAGGACTACCCAACCGGTTGAAAGTTGAGGACTTTCCCTGCCCGGGAGCGCCGCACATGTGTGGTTCCACCCCCTGTGCCGGCTGAGGCATAGCTGGCAAGCGGCAGAGACCGAGCAGGCCGACCACCAGCTGGCCCAGCCCAAGGGAGGTAAGGCACCCGCCGGAAAAGGGAAAAAAAAATGGCGGACAACCTTGCTTGGCGACCCCCATGAAATGGTCGATCGACCCCAAATGGGGTCCCGACCCACAGGTTGAGAACCACTGAGTTAAGGGATCTATGATTTAAAGGCACCCCACATTTATGGTGCAGCAATACCAACTGAAACGTAACTTGTTCTATTGCCATTAGAAAAGACAAAGATACTTAAAAAATTGACAAATATATCAAAAGCTAGAATAATTCATTTCATTTAAGTTATTACTGGTAGATATATATAGCCACCCAGCTCATGAAATATAATTCTGGGTACCAACATATTAAGAATTAAAACCATATAACACACACACCCCAAAAAAATTACAAAACCAAGAATGTGGAAGAAAACAATCAGTTGACATTACATAACCATCTTGCAGGCTCATTATGGGATCCCAAAGTCCCTGGAAAGCTTTAAGGGCCTTCTAGAAAGTAGACAGGGATGGGGCCAACCTCATCTCAGAGAGAATGATGTTTCAGAGCAGGGGCCACAGTAGAAAAGGCACACCATCTGGGTCTTGCCAGATGGAATTTCTTTGGTGATAACACCCAACGCATACCCCTCCTGCCTGACATGATGGGATTGGTGGCTATAATCAAAAGAGAGGCGGTCCATCAAATAACATGGTCCTGTGCAATGTAGGGCCTTAAAGATCAAAAGCAACACCTAGAATTAGACCCCAAACAAACTGGCAAGAGAGCAAGGACAGATGTACTTCTCCTGTCCTGCTGTCACTTAGAATTCAAAAGTGTGGCTAATGTCAAATCTAGGCAATGACCAAAATCTGAATCCTGACTGTAAAGAGTCAGATAATCAGCTTTATCCAGCTGATAGAAGCTGCTGCACAACCTTCTCTAGAAAAGGGAAGTTAAATACTGGATGAAAATAGTCCAGTATGGTGGGCTCCAGGAATGGCTTTGTGATGACCCAGGGCATGGCACAGAGGCAACACAGTCAGCTGGCAATTCAAACCGCCCTTTAATTGCTCCAAATTTCTCCCAAATGGTCCCACATTTTTGGCAAGCCCCAGAACAAAGTAAGACAAACACACTTTCAGCAGCCTCTGGCTGCAAGTAGTTTCACAAGTTTTTAACTCTTCAGGCAGTTCCCTCCTTCTCTCCACTCTCTGTGCTCTAGGATCAGGAGGGGGTGGCCGTTGCTCATCACCTGAGCTCTTGTCTCTCATGTTCATCCTGTCCCAATCCTGAAAGGCCCTGGCCTGCCTCAGCCTGCTCTTCCCCACATTCCTCTGAAGCCATAGACACCTCTCCCTCGACCTCCATAGGGTCCTGTTCCAGCTCATTTTCCTCAGCAGATTCAGGCTCCCACGGGGGCATGACAGGCTTCTTGAGCAGACGGTAAGACAATGTCTCCTTAAAGGGCAGCAGAACAACCAATCTCTCAGAGAGTTAATTATTACTAGGATCCAACCAAATAACGCATGTTCTTTAGACAGTGTAGAATGGCAAATACAAATTTGCCTCAAAAATATGATATAACTATATATCTGACTAGAATGGGATTTCCTTAGGAAATGGGGAAAAGAAAGGCTTACCAGATACTTCTTCATCATGAGCTTTCATTGTGAAGACTGGTTTATGGGAACGAGCATCAAGATAGTACACAAATCCATCTTCT